ACTCCTACTCTGACGTCTTTGCCTCCAGTGTGGTTCCACTTAGGTGAGGACACTGGATTTCCACCCTCCAAAGCCAACAGGAGTCAGTGTGACTCAATAGGAAAAGCAAGAAAACACACTGTTGTAGCAGCTTGAGGTCATGAAATATAGCATTTTGTGCTCATGATGGCCAGGCCAAGGGGCATTTAGGAGAGACAAAGAGACAGCCTGGAGCACCAGCACTCAGCCCCCGCTCACAGCAACCAACCCAAGCGGCAGAAAGCAGTTTTCTCAGGTCACACAAGGGGTGGACTCCCCAACAAAAAACAAACACCAGATTTCTTTGAGCTTGGCACACGTCAGCATACACTTCCCTGCACACAAACAAAGCACTAAGATGACCTGCACGTGGCTCCTGTCCAGCACCAGGATTCCTTGCCTGGATTTCAGCAGGGAATTGCCAGCACACAGCAACTGAGGAGCTGTTGGTGCAGCACAGCAGAAACATACATAGAGTAGGAATCCTGTACAACGCTTGTGGATTTTTGCTGGTTTATAAAGCTGTGTCACAGGAATGGTGCTCAACATAAGCAAGGGGAATAGCAAACTTGTATACACTCAGCACAGTGCAGGACTTCCTTACTGCACAGCCAAAGTCCTGCTGCCTCACATAACATCACACTTGCACTCATGAACATTCTGGTGTGTCTGCAGTGCTGCTGCTTTACCAGAGGGCTGTAGGAGAGTATATCTTTAACCTGGGGTACCATGCAGCACTGGCTGCCTACTTTAACAAAACTGACCTTAATAACAGGGACTTCATATGCTGCTGTCCCAAGTTAACAGTCATCTGCAGCTGCAAGGTTACTGAATGAGCCAGGAAATAAGAAAGAGGTTGTTTATCAACAGTGACTTCCTCCCTGAGCACTGCCCTCATGGGGCACCCTTCCCTCCCCTCATACTGTACTGCTGCTCCCATTAATAGCCCAAAACACATAAAAATCAGCACAGTTTAAGTCCCGCTGAATTAAACTCATCTGTACACCCACTGCCCACACTCTGTCTTCCTAGCAAGCAAAAAAAGCCATGTTTCTGCTGCTTATCACCTCATTTGAAGCAAGCCCTGAAATACTGCAACAGATGCAGTTAGCTCAGCACCCTCCCCACATCCCCAGCCCCTGTCTTGCATGGCAGCCACCTGATCCCAAGCAGCTCGTTAGGAGGACTAAGCTGGCACAGAGCCACATCAGCACCATAAGAACAGCAGCTTCCTGCTGCTTCAGCTCCCTGAACTGCCAGCACCAGCGGTGATGCAAGAGCTGGAGCAAGGAGGCAGAGCTGGGACAGATACCACAAACACCAGCATCCATGACATCACGCTGCCATTAAGACATGCAGCCCTAGGACTCTGCCCCACCAGCTGTGAACATCAGGGCCCTTTCCATCCCATCTGGAGCCAGCTCAGAGAGTTAAACCTGCCAAAAATCCAGCTCTGTGCACAGGCTGGAGAGGCAAACCACTACAGAATGCAAAAGAGAAGGTTTCCCAAGTTTTATGATACCTTTCAGGAGCAGAACAGCATATGTGAGAGCTGCACCATTTCTCAGAGCAGTTGCAGAACATCCCCTACAAGCTTCAGCCACGGGCAGCTCAAAACCCAATGTGACTACACAAGCTAGGACAAGAACCAAAAGGCATTATTTCAAGCTGAAAATGCAGGGGAACTTTTTGAAGACTGGAATTGGAGTTTGACCAGAATATTTTAACATTCCCGCTGAATACACAAATAGAAATATTTGCCAAAAGGGAGGTTTTGGCAAGCACTTGCTCATTTTGGCTCTCTCTGCCATGAGGCTGGATATGTGACCCAGGATAACACGTAACCTTCGGTGCTGAGAGCATATTTTCTATATGCATGTTCAGCTTTTAAGTGGGTTTTGGAAGAGCTTGCTTGGATAGAATATCAACAGCAATGCACATAGGCTGGAAAAGATCTGCTCACACTTACAGCCTGGACTGGAAATTCTGCCATCCTTATTTGGAAAAATGTTGAAATACATAAATTTGTGTATACACACACACATATATAACGTGTACATATACACACAAAAAAAAACATACACAGAGAAACCAACACCTGTGGGACACATCCTGCATTCTTAAAATAGTTATCTGCATCATATCTCCTGACCGAAGAGCAACTATTCTGATGCCTTTCAAACTGTAAATACGAGCTCTAAATAAATTACTATTTATGAAGAGTTTGTGCTTGCAAGTCTCAACCACAAAGGCCTATTTACATTTGCTCTCCAGCCAGACTTCTTAAGTCTTGTTTTAACAGATACCTGTCAGAATGCTTGTGATTTAATCCAACTCCTCACTCTCTCCATTAGATTGAATCTGAGCTGCACACAGATACCTCCAAGCGTACACCATGCTGTTACCACACAGCCCTCCAGTCCAGCCCCCACAGATCCCACTTACTCAGTCTACCCTCTGCTCAAGATTCCTTTCTCTGCACCCAACTCAACAGGCTCAGAAAAAAAACACCAAATCCAGCCCCAAACCAGGCTGAAACAAAGAGCATCAGAGCAGGAAATCAGCAGGCAGGAATTCCAGAACTGCAGGGACCTTCGAAGATGCTCCAGTTCCATCCTCTTAAGCAGGTTTCCTACAGCAGGTTGCACAGGAAAGTGCCCTGGTGGGTTTGAATATGTCCAGAGACTCCTCCATCTCTCTGGGCAGCCTGTTCAGGGCTGCCACCCTCAAGATCTCCTTCTGGGGTCAGAGACTTGCTTATACAACACAAGACAATGGCTTGTCCCTTTTGCAACTGGGGAAAGGCATCCATACACCATAAACACAGAGAAAAGTCATCAAACATTACTTGTTGCCTCTGTGAATAGGAATCATAGAATCATTCAGGTTGGAAAAGACATCTGAAGTCATCAAGTCCAACTGGCAGCCTACTTTCACCATGTCCATGTCCCTCAGTGCCACATCCCCACAGTTCTGGAACACCTCCAGGTTTGTTGACCCCCTCCCCTCCCTGGGCAGCTGTGCCACTGCATCACTGTTCTTTTGGAGAATTTTCTCCTCATATTCAACCTGACTGTTCCCTGGCGCAACTTGATGCCATCACCTCTTGTCCTCTTGCTGTTACCCAGGAGCAGAGGCTGAACCTCCACCTTGCTACAACCTCCTTTCAGGGTCTTCTAGAGAGTGATACAGTCTCCTCTGAGCCTCCTTTTCTTCAGAACAAACCAACCCAGCTCCCTTAAGGCACTCCTCATAAGATTTGTGCGCCAGACCCTTCACCAGTTTTCTTGTCCTTTTTCTGGACAAATGTAAAATCACTAAGGTTGGAAAAGACCTCTGAGACCTTTAAGTGGAACCACCAAACCCACCACAACCACCTCCTCCATTAAACCATGCTCCTTAAGCGCCACTGGAAGAAGCAAGCTGACGAACCTCCCACCTGGACTTACAGCACTCAACCACAGCCAGCTGCAATCACCTCCTGTCCACCCCAAGCGACTCCAACACAGGCTGCAAAAGCTCAGCTGAACAAAGGACAAGCAGTAATAGCATTAGCATCAGGGGAGGTTCAAGTTGGGTATCAGGAACAATTTCTGTTCTGAAGGAGTAGCGATGCAGCTGCCCAGGGAGGTGGTGGGGTCACCGTGCCTTGGGGTGTTCCAGAACTGTGAGGATGTGGCACTGAGGGGCACAGTGGGCAGCGGGCATGGTGGGGTGGGTTGGTGATCTGAGGGATCTTTTGCAACCTCAGTGACACTATGACTCCAAAAAGACTGAGAAAACACTAGCCTTCATAGGAATAAAGGTGACCATCTAACGCACACGCACACAAAGTTCCCAGCCACACGTGCAGCTGCTTCCACCGAGCGCAGCCCCATTTCCAGCAGCGCTCCATCCAACGACAGCAACAAACGCGACGCTCCCCTCTCGGCCACACGCCTATCCACCCCTCCGAGCCGCTCACACTTCGTTACCGCGCAGCAGCCGCCCCAGCACCCAGACGGACGCAGGACACACGGACACACCGCCGGTCGCTTCCCGCCTCAGCCCCCCCCACCCCCCTCCCGGCCGGGCCGCCGCCCTCCAGCCGCAAGGCCCCGCGTACCGTCCGGGCGGCCTCGGCCCAGGTCCTGCCCTTCTTCCGGCGTCCTTTTTCCCTCATGTCGTTGGCTGCGGTGTTGGGAAGCTGCGACTCTTTCGCTTTTTCTTTCCTTCCACCCGCCCGGCAACGAGCGGCGGCGGCCTCAAGGGAGAGCGTTCCCAACCCCGGCAGCCCCCGCGCCCGCCGCCGCTGCCATATTGGGACCCGACTGTACAGCGCCGCGGTCATGTGACCCCGCCGCGTGACCCCTCCTACTGTACGGGTGGGCGGGGCTCGGCGAAGGGAAGCCCCGCCCCTCAGCGCTGCGCGTGCGCGCCGCCCCGCCCGCGGCTCCCCTCCCCCCGCCCTCCACTCAGTGCCGCGGATGGTCCTTGTCCCTCCCCCGGCTTCCCTCCCCCACAGACGTCGACGGCTTCCGGCTGCCGGTCTCCCCTACGGCTTGCGATTACCGTCGCCTCCCTGCTGCTGCCCCCCTTGGCCAGCAGCCTTTCATCACGGTGGTCACCACCACCCCACCCGGTCACCAATGGAGGGCCACCAGGTTCCCTTTCTTGTTGCCGCCGCCGTCCCCCAAGGCCTCCTGCTGCTGACCAACACCCTCCAGTGGCCGCCATAGCCACCTTCTTCCCACGACCAAGCCATGCAATCATGCAGTCAACAAAATCAGAGAGTCATTAAGGTTGGCAAGGACCTCTAGGGTCATCAAGTCCACCCATAACAACAACTGATATAAACATCACAGAATCACAGAATGGCCAGGGTTGGAAGGGACCTCAAGGATCATGAAGCTCCAACCCCCTGCCACATGCAGGGCCACCAACCTCCATATTTAATAGTAGACCAGGCTGCCCAGGGCCCCATCCAACCTGGCCTTGAACACCTCCAGGGATGGACGGGGCATCCACAGCCTCTCTGGGCAGCTGTTCCAGCACCTCACCATTCTCATGGTAAAGAACTTCTGCCTGACATCCAGCCTTAATTTCCCCTCCCTCAATTTCAAACTATTTCCCCTTGTCCCGCAGTTATTTACCCTTTCAAAGAATTGATTCCCCACCTGTTTCCCTTCTCCCTGCACTCACAGTCTTGTTTTCCATTGAATGGTGCCCCCCACCCCACCTCTTCCCCTAGAATGGTAACCCATCACCAGCTCCCCAACACCATCATCTTAATAGTACAAGGGGGAATGGTTGGATTGAATTAGGTTGGATGTCAGGGGGAAGTTCTTTACAGAGAGAGTGGTGAGGTGCTGGAACAGCTGCCCAGAGAGGCTGTGGATGCCCCGTCCATCCCTGGAGGTGTTCAAGGTCAGATGGGGCCCTGGGCAGCCTGGGCTGGTATTAAACATGGAGGTTGGTGGCCCTGCTTGTGGAAGGGATTTGGAACCTGATGATCCTTGAGATCCCTTCTAACCCTGGCCATTCTGTGATTCTGTGATCTCTCCACCACCGTTACCTCTCAGTTACCATTGTCACCACTATCATTTCCCTACCATCATCATATTCACCATCATCTCTCCAATACCGTCATTTCTCTACCACATTGGCTCTACCATCATCATATCTCCACCTCCACTGTCACCACCATCATCTCTCCATCACTATCATAATCACTATAATCTCTCTACCACCATCTTTCCACCATCGTCATCTCCGCACAAAGTTATTTCTGCCTCTAGGATTTCCAGGTAGCATTCCTATCCCACCAGAATTCTCAGTCCCTCGTATTTCACAGTAGCTTCTGGGGTTTTAAAGAAGAAAAATCTTGCATTTGGAGTAAAATAAAAACAGGTCATTCATCAGTGAGCTAAGGAAATAGTTCTTTGTGCAGCAATGTTACCATGCATCAATTGTTTCACCATGAGGATGTGATCCATCATGTTATTTCACTGAGTATTTATACAAAGCCTGGAGTTCTGAATCTTAACTTACCATCAGAAGGTCATATTATTTCCAAACGGGAAGTCAGTCAGCCTGTGAGATTAATCTCTGGGTTTTGACTGACAAGTGGCAGAGCCATCTCCATGATGCCTCAACTTTGAGAACTCCTTTAAACGCAGGGCAGTACAGTCCAATGTGTGTTACAAGTCAGCCTGCCATTATAAAAGATCTTTGGAGAACAGAACAACTTGTACCATGGAACAGGTCACTTTTGTCAGGAAGGATGGCAAAGGGCAGGGTGAGTTGGCTTCAGATGTAATGGGGCTGTTGCATCTTCATGGCTGGATTTCTCTTGCTGCAGTGCAGCTCCTTTGACATCACAGATGTCTGGCTTTGAGTTGCACTGGGGAGGTTCATGTTGGATGTTGGGAAAATTTCTTCTTCAGAAGAGTGATCCAGACATTGGGATGGGCTGCCCAGGGAGGTGGTGGGGTCACCGTCCCTGGAGCTATTCAAGAACCTTGGAGATGAGACACTGAGGTCAGTGGGCATGGGGGGGGTAGGTTAGAGTTGGACTTGATGATTTTTGTAGTCTTTTCTAGCCTTAACGGTTCTATGATTCTGTACCATTGGCCTTCTTGGCCACCTGGGCATACTGCTGGCTTACTTTCAGCCAGCTGTCAATCAGCACTCCCATATCCTTCTCTTCCCTGCAGTTTACCAGACACTCTGCCCCAAGGTAGTGTTGCATGGGCTGTTGCAACCAAAATGCTGGGCCTGGCACTTGCTAAAGCTCATCCCATGGCCTCAGCCCAGCAAACCAGCCTGTCCAGATCCCTCTGTAGGACCCTACTACCATCCCAAGGCAGATCCACACTTCCCCCCCACCTCCTCACCTGCAAACTTGCTGAGGGTGCACTCAAGGCCCTCATTCAGGTCAGCAAATCGATATGTTACACAGGATAGACCCCAGTACTGACCCCTGGGGAGCAGCACTCATGGCCAGCCACCAGGTGAATGGAGCTCCTTTCATCACCACAATGCTTCCCGGTTGGGACTTCCTCAACCCAGCAAACCTGACTGTGTAGTGCAGGGACTCTTCTGTCCTCCTTCAGAAGGAGCAAAGCCCTGAGATCAGGCAGGATCTGCACTCATCTGGGTGCTTTCTGAGAGGATGCCGCTCTGCACACCAGCACACCATGCCTCCTCAACTCATGCTCTGTGCTGCTCCGTCTTCTCAAGCAGCCTCACAAGCCACAGAATCGAGCTGTTGGTGTTTGTTTCAAAAAATATGACTCCATTTTCTTCTAATCCCGTCGTTATCGAGCCACTACTGCGTCAGGAAGCGTTGCAGCTGAAGTGCACATTGCAGCTTGTTAGAGATGTTCCCCAGCAAGGAGCTGGGCTGGCCAGCTGCTCTCAGAGGTCACTGTCCTCACTGTCCTCAGAGCTAATTTTATCTTGGAGCTGTACGTGAGGAAGCAAAGCAGAGTTCATTGTGAGTGCGTTGCTTCGTTGCTGATGAAGAAAGGAAAAACTGACCTCAGTGTACGCGAACCCAGCAGCATCCTGCTTTGGCAAAATGAGAAACAAGGTTGTTTAATCATTAAGCTTTAAGCTTTAGTAATTCACATGTATTAAGCAGGAATTAATATTAAAGTACTGAATTGAGAGGACTGATTCAATCCTATTTCTGAAGTCAGGTTCAAAGCGGGCAGTCGGCTGATTTCAGGTTGATACTCCCAGCCAGGAAAATGAACATGCAAATGTCAGACTGCTGCTAAGCCCAAACAAGGAGCAGATGGCTTCTTTAGGTGGGGGGTGGTTATGTGGCTACCACACAGCTTTGCAATGAGTATTTTAAGTTGTGAAAGCGATACAAAAACCAGGAACCCAAATCTTTGTGCAAAGCAGTGACTGCAATCTTGAACGAACACAGGAAAAGTGACACAGACCCTTTACAAGGGAGCGGTGCTGTCTTCTTAGAATCATGGAATCAGTGAGGTTGGAAAAGACCTCTCAAATCTTTAAGTCCAACCCCAGCCCACCCCACCATGCCCACCAGTCCCTCAGTGCCACATCCCCGCGGATCTGGAGCACCTCCAGATGACCCCGCCACTTCCCTGGGCAGCCCATCCAATGTCTGGATCACTCTTTTGGAGAAGAAATGTTTCCCAACATCCAGCCTTCACTCCTGTTACCAGAGGCAGGACAGCTGGCTTGCCCAGTCTGCGGTTCTACAGAGGATCCCTTGTGTTAGGCATAGTGTTATCCTTAGGGAATCCAAGGATACACAGTGCAGAATCAGCTCTGAACCCTCTATGCACTCCTCAATGATTGAGTTTTCAGCAGGGCTTGTTGAGTCTGGTACAGTGTTGGATGAAGAACATTGCTCCTAACCATGCACTTCTTCTGGATATGGGCTGACACCTGATGTATGATTTATATACTCCGGATAGGAAACAACAGGGAGTATGGTGCAGAAACAATTAGGCTAAGTATTAAGGGGGCAGTGGTGGGCAGACAAAACCCTTGGTCTTTCCAGCAGCCCAAACCCCAGGTGTGTCCATAAACCAGCTGGAGAGAAGCTCATGAGAGCTCTGAACTGCGGCTGGGCATATTGCAGCCCATCTGCCATCTGCAGGGCAGAAGACAGAAGCATGAGCGAGCCTCAGACTATCGTCTTGGCATGCATGACATCCCCGTTCATGTTCAGTGCAATAAGAGATTGTGAGTCACCTGGAAGTACCCTTTGAGGCCCCTTTACCACTTTTTTTCCTAGCAGATACCTCTCCTTTCTTTGAGATGAGTTACTAGGGAGGCTCTGGTGTCCTCAGTCATCATTCACTCCTGAGACTTGCAATCCTGGCAAGATGATCAGGAGAAAAAAAGCATAAGCATAAAGCCAGCAAGAGAAGCCTTTCATTTTCCATTGTTCTTCAGCCTCAGCAGACTCACGGCCAGATGTTCTGTCTCCCTGACGAGTGCCTATGGAGGGTATCATACAAAGAAAAGGAGAGCATTCCTTTTGAAGGAAGGACTTTGTTTAGTACTGATAAAAGAGTTTGTTAGCTCAGCTTTGAAGTCTCAAGCTATCTGAGGATCTCCTGGGCGCCTCCTTTTACCCTGCAGACATCTCAGCATTGCTCACAGACCTTCCTACACCTCTCCCTTGGCGTGTACCATTGTGCCATGGACTGAGGATGCAATGACAAGTTGACAGTGTCTTTGGCACTACGGGTCGTTGAAGAGCAGTTGGAGATTGGTACTGGCATTAGGATGGCTGAAAATTGTTTAGAAATTCAAGCAGCAGAAAAAAAGGAGTGAGAAGCAAGGAATGGTAGAAAGAAACATAACTGTGATGGGTCAGGCTGGATGGTCTTGGAGGACTTTTCCAACTTTAGTGATTCTATGATTCAGATTGGCATGGTGGTGGTGAGTTGACAGCTGAACTTGACGATCTCAAAGGGTTCCAACCATAATGATTCCATGATTGTGTGAAACCATTTAGCACTGGCCCCAGTGCTGTCTGTTGCCTCAGTGAAACACTGCAGTGTGTCGTGGAAAGACACAGAGCTGAGAGGAGCAGGGACGAAAGAGAATGGATTGAATTTCAGCCTCAGGAAGGGGGAGACAGATTATTTCCCGAAGTGCTGGTTGAATTACCTGTCTTACAGCTTTTTTCTGTCTCCACATCAGTAGTGAAAAGTGTCTGCTAGTTGGCAAAAAATGAAACTAAGGGAAATTCCCAGCTGAGAATGCCTTGCCCATGGCAACCTCTTGACCTTTCTCCCTCCATATCTGCCCTTTGCCGTGTGGTTGGTACAATGTCCTGCCATTCTGGCTGTTCGCAGAATCAAGGATTATCAGAAAAGCCATAGAATCCCACACAGAGTCATTCAGGTTGGAAAAGACCTCTCAGATCCCCAAGTCCAACCCCAACGCACACCACCATACCCACTGCCCACATCTCAGTGCCACATCCCCACAGTTCTGGAACACCTCCAGTGACCCCACCACCCCCCTGGGCAGCTGTGCCACTGCACCACTGCTCT